CGGCCCCCTTGTTTTTTTCTCTCTCTGTGAATGGAGGAGAGAGATATATTGTATCTCTCTAACTCCTGATGTAGAGGGGAAAAATGTTTGGTAAAAGAAAAGGAAAAAAAGATTAATAAATAAATATTACAAAATAAAGAAAAAATACCTAGATCAAGGTTTGATCTAGTTCAGTGCCAGGGTAAGTGGGTCAAAGTCAGGGTCAAAGGTCAAGGTCAAAAGGTCAGGGTCAAAGGTCAGGATTTTTTTTTTAACATTTGGTGTTAGTGTCAGTGTGTTTTAGGTAAAAAACAAAAACAAAACAAAACAAAATGTGCACTATTGTTTCTGTGCTGTACTATGGGTACAAGCAACAAATAACATATACATATATGGTATCGCTGTGATTGTCAAGAGCTGGAAATTTTATTTTGGGTTGCTCTTTGATGGTAGGTTTTGGTAGTAATAAGAAACACAAAGCTAAATTAAAAAATGATTTTTTTTTTTACTTTTTAGGGCCAGTTTTCCTTTGATAATAAAAAAAAAAATCAGGAGATAACCATTACCATTTACCACCAAATAAAAGCCCAATTTGTCCTGAAAATAACAAGGTATAATGCACCTGGATATACAAAGTAGTTGTGATGATATGTACAGTTTTACTAACACATGTCAATGTTGCAAAATTGTGCTTAGGCATTTAGATTTGTTTTACCCTTAGGCGTGAAGGGGTTAAGTTCTGAAGAAGAGGATGAGGCAGATACCTTGCTGAGGAATGTATTTTAAATTTAAATGTTTTACAGAAAGTTACGTAGATTGTCCTTTTGCACACTTAACGTAAAATAGAGTAGGATAGAGTAGGGAAGGTTTTTTACCATCTGTGTCCCACTGGGAGATTTCCTTTCACTTCTTGTGCCATAGCCAAAACAGGACGTGAGAGGAAATCCCTACAAACGGAGGAAATCCCTGGTTGTCACCAGAACTATTGTCCCCATTAGAAGATTTCCCCTTTATTACTTTTCTGGGGACAACCCAAAATTTGGGATTTTCTTTCATTTTCACTTTCAATGATAACAGTCAACAGGACAAATAGAGAAGGTGAATCTCCCTAATGAGTACACAAACAGCTATGCAAAACTTGACAGGTGCTCTATTCCCCTCTACTTAGTCCAAAATGAAAAAAAAAATTTGCTTATAGCTATACTTAAAGTTTCTTGCAAATCTGATAATAAAAAAAAAAATCACTGGTCCCCTAGACTTACCTGGGTCAAGGTGTTTAAGTAAACCTATTAGAAGAACTACATTAGCCCTCCAGAATTTTCAAGTTTTCTGCCTTAAAAAGGAGGCCAGATTTTCATGATACATTGTTTGTGTAGATGTAGTATCCTTACGGGTAAAATGATCTTAGAAATTTTTGTTGCATATGTGGACAGCATTATTTATATCTAATATGTTAATGTAGATACAATTATATAATACCAAGTATTCACACAATTATAGCATGTTTTTCAGGTTGAGATTATTTAAATATACTGCACATTTTCCTTCAGCTGTCTTTAAAAAGATATTTTTGTGTAATGCAGTGATGTTTGTTAAAGTGGACCTTTATTCAAAAGTGAAAATACATCTCACTCTGCTCCCTACCTCCATCCCAAACTAATTTGAGGGTTTTTTTGTGAGATCGGGTACTTTTTTGCCTGCTCTCAATTTCTCAGTTCCCTAGGTGAGATAGACATCCGCTTGGGACCCCCCCCCCCTCCTGCAACCTCCTGAGATGTGTCACACTGTAACTTAATAAAAGTTTAAATGTCGCAATAAAATAAAGGAGTGCTGACTGGAAATATACAAAGTGTCCATGCAAAATGCTGTTTATCCAAAGATTATTGACAGCCTTATAGAAAAAAAATCCATTTCACACGCGTCTATGCAGAAGTGATATCTTATCAAACAAAAAAAATCATAAAATAAAGGAGTCCACATTTTCTAATCTTTCCAATCTTCCACAAGTGAAGAATTAATGTGTATTGTGTCCTGGTAAGAACTGCCACCAACCCCAATGGGCACTCTCTCATCTTATTAAACTGACCTTATAATGAAAAAGGTCTGATGCACATATCCTGGATAGGGCTGTCGGTCCTCTGTAAAAATTACCTGTCTCAGACATCAAGGGGTTTATTTACTAAAGCTGGAGAGTGCAAAATCAGGCTCACTTCTGCATAGAAACCAATCAGCTTCCAGGTTTTATTGCCAAAGCTTAATTGAACAAGCCGAGATTAGAAGCTGAGTGGTTTCTATGCAGAAGTTAGCCTGATTTTGCACTCTCCGACTTTAGTAAATAAACCCCCAAGGATCAATTTCCATGTTGGAGCTCAGAGAAATACAAAGGAAACAACATATCATGAAAATAATAACTTACCTGTGGTCCTTTTGCACCTTGATCACCCATAAAGCTTTGCAGACCAGGGTCACCTTTTCCTCCCTACAGAAAAATACATATATTTGCTTACATATCATTCCTTTATTTATATTCACATTATAATTGCCTGTATTGTTATCCTATACCTTTATTCTAGGATTTTCCTCTGGAAACTTTGGTATGATTTATATATATACCGTATTTGCCGGCGTATAAGACGACTGGGCGTATAAGACGACCCCCCTACTTTTCCTGTTAAAATATAGGGTTTGAGCTATACTCGCCGTATAAGACTACCCCTCTTCCAACGGGCCCCATCATTGGTGTCAGTGGGGAGGAGGAATAGTGCCCCATCATTGGTGTCAGTGGGGAGGAGGAATAGTGCCCCATCATTGGTGTCAGTGGGGAGGAGGAATAGTGCCCCATCGTTGGTGTCAGTAGGGAGGAGGAATAGTGCCCCATCATTGGTATCAGTGGGGAGAAAAGTGCCCCATCATTGGTGTCAGTGGGGGAGGAATAGTGCCCCATCGTTGGTGTCAGTGGGGGAGGAACAGTACCTCATCGTTGGTGTCAGTGTGGAGGAGGAATAGTGCCCCATCGTTAGTGTCAGTGGGGGAGAGGAGCGGCTGCTCCTTCTTTCAGTTCGGCCGCTTGATTTTCGCGGGGGCCGTTCGGCTCCGCCTCCTCGCCGGTGATTGGTCGCCTGTGTGCCTTTCCAGTGCTGGCGCCCAATCACCGGTGAGGAGGCGGAGCTGAGCGGGCGGCGGGACCATCGAGCGGCCGAACTGAAAGAAGGAGCAGCCGCGCTTCCTGGACCGGATCGTCGTGGGACCGGGACCGGAGCCAGGTAAGGTACAGCAGCCCCTCTGCCCACCCCTGTACTTGGTGTCCGTTGGAGGAGGAGGGGGGGCGGCGCCGCCCCTCGAAAAAGTGCCGCCCTGACACCGGCTCGCCGTATACCTGGCGTATAAGACGACCCCCGACTTTTCAGAAGATTTTCAGGGGTTGAAAAGTCGTCTTATACGCCGGCAAATACGAATCTTGCTGATAACACAAAGTTTAAAATGCACAGGGATTTATATTTTAATATTGTTCTAAAGGACCAGGACATGTTTAAATTGAAAACCTGTTTATGAACAGGGGAATTTAAAAGATGAATATTGTTTCTAATGCATCACAACATTTGCTTACTTATGAAACCGCATTGAAGGCAACCTTTGAAGTGATAGACTTCAAGTTTTTGCTTTGCTTTACCCTGACAAAGTGCCAGCTGAAAGGCCACAGGACAGAAGTTCAGTTGTCCTAGAAACACCTTTAAATTCATAATTTTTGTCTTAGCTGGCCAAACCATAGTCTGTGCCTAACTTTTTGGTATGCTTCTCCCATGCCACCTAAATAATAAGCGTCAAGTTATATTAGGGATTTAGAAGTTCTTTAAGTTCGAATAAAAGATTACTAGCCTAGGATTCATTCTATTAATTAAAATTCTTTACATTTGGTGTGAAGTGACACAATACTGTCAGCAAATAAAGGCTAACTTGTTTACCTACTCAGCCCCTTTATAGTACTTTTAAAGTATTTTATGTAAAGATAGCTCTTTCATTAATTCTGACATGTTAATGAATATTGTTGACTTTGACACTGCTGAGAGTTTTGTGGTCAGGTAAAATACTATATTAAGCTATTAAATATCAATGGCTCTAACACAAGGTGCTTGGTCAGAATTTTAGTTCTATATGAAAAATATTATTACGAATTCTTAACATCATAACATTACAATTGTTAAATCAATAAAACCAATTTAACCAACCAATTTAAATCAAAACCTATTCTATGTAATATTGGGTCTTCATTTTTGTGCATAAATCTGCTCTTTGATCCTACATAGATTGTACAGACCTAAAAACATACAGTAATCAAAAGGTTATTTCTCTTTTTGTACTATGGTTTTATTGTTAAAATAAATTGGAATACCGGTGGTCCTGTGACTCCTCGTCTACCAGGGAGATTCTGGAAAAAAATATTAAATGTAAGTATCTAAGTATTGTAAGTACACATTTCTTTTATAAAAGTTTCATTGACTGTCTCAGTAGTACAGAGAGTACACAAACTATATAAACGAATACAGTAAGTACTTATAAAGAGTAATTACAAATTTCAGCTAATATTATTGGTTCCTTTCCTAAATATTAAAAACAAAATACTCTGAAGGATTATTTTTTTTTAGTGCAAAAGCCTCTGGGTTAATAATGTTCATAGGCAGACTGGGGCTTCTTTACTAAAGGAGTAGAGCATGTTGATTTTGCAAAGTGAATTTTCGCTTACCTTAGTGAATGAGGTGAAGGTAAGTGAAAATTCACTTTGCAAAGAATGCTAAATCAGATGTAAGGAAAATTATAAACAGGAATTTTGTTCACACATGATGGAATGATTGATGTCAAAATAGCTTTATTTCATCCACTGTGCTAAGAAAAAATTAACTTTGCAAATTGAGCATGTTCTGTTCCTTTAGTAAATCCACCCCGCTGTGTTGCACCATAGCATCCGGTCAAATTGTACTTTTGCAAAATGAAAAAGGAATAAGTCAGGCCGTTGAGTCCTCATCAGGGGCGGACTGACCATTTGGAAACTCGGGCGCTGCCCGAGGGCCCAGGGTCAGTAGGGGGCCCCATGAGATGCCCCTGGTACCTTTTTCATAGGCTTTTTTGAGTTTGGGCAAGGACACAGGGGCCCCATGATCCCCTATTGCCCGGGGACCCCATGAGTTGTCAGTCCGCCCCTGGTCCTCATACATATTAGATGTTTTTACAGCGGCTGTTTTTGGCCTTTGACATTTTTTTCTACATCCAGTAAACGCCCCAGCATGTTATCCTATGTGTCCATGCACACATAGATTGTAATCAACATTTTTTGGTAGGGGCGTTTTTTGGCTGGAAAAAAAAACAGAAGTAGTGGGTTTCTAGAGGGGTTTTTTAGCTGTAAAAATGCTCTAACGCTGAAAAACGTGGCAAAACACAGTAAAATGCGATAAATCTCGGCAAACCAGCGTTATGGGACTTTTTTTGACCAAAAAAAAACCTCTAAAAAATGCAACGCATCAAAATGCTAAAGGCTAATACAAAAATGTTAAAAACTGCTGAAAAACAGTTTTTAACATCACTTTACACAGCTAACGTTACCAGCGTTATTAAATCGCCCAGTGTGCATGGAGCCTCAGACACAATGCCTGAAAATATTCTTTCTATACATACTTTAGTAAATAAAAAATAGTTTAGTTAAAGCCAAACTCCTGGTACACAGTTAAGTTAAATATATCACTTAATATCGACAAAGGCTATAAATTTACTTTGTGCGCACCAAATGTCTTTGCAAACCTAGATATATGGGAGGGACCCAGCAGGATCCATCCACTGCAGTCTGTCTGCAGAAAACTATAGGAGGCTACAGATACAAGTCCAGTCACCCTGAACAAGGAGATAAAGCACCAGCGACTGGACTTTATTGCAGAAAGCTTCTGCATGGAGTGAAAGTTTCATGCTGGATCACTGCTCAGATCTGGAAGAAATACGCAAAGCACACGAGATTCAAGTAGAAATACCTGCGTATTTCGATTATTTGCTTATCTCAGAGTTCAGTTTTAAAGGAATATGAGAGACAAAAGCCTAGCTGCCTCTGGTTTCAGTGCTTCCCCTGGCATGGAACCAGCTTGCAGCTAATGAAGTAAGAGAAAACCAAAAACCCCAGATCAATATGCGTGATAAAAGTGTACTCATTGCCAAAACCTTTTCTTTTTTGAACTTATGTTCGATATTTTTTTTAACTTTTCACATTTGTATGTGGGGTTATGAATTAACCACAAAATGGTTGCATTTATCAATTATGTTAATCTATTATTCCTTTGGTGCAATGAACTATAAGTCCCTGTGTGAAATGTGTCAATAAAACAGGACCGGTAGGCACTGCTACCTAGGGCACAGCTACGGCCAGGACCGCCGCTAGGGCAATATAGCCGATTCTGCTGTAATATTAAATATATTTTCCCTGGGCCCCATCAGTTCAACAGAGGGTTCCAGGAGGTGAGGAGCAGAGAGGGATTCTTTTTATAATTTTGGGCACAGGCGGCTAAAGCCACTCTGTATTTTGCAGTGCTGATCAGAGGTGGTTGGTCGTGGCCGCTTACAGCCTTCCACTGGCACTGCACTAGCTAAAAATTTTTAAGTTTTATTTTTTTTTGGGGGGGGGAGGCGGAAAGTAGCTGGTCTTCCCTAGGGCGCAAAATAATCTAGCATCAGCCCTGTATATAAACAATACAATTCATTCCAGTGGTTTTGGACTCTTTTTCTTGCTTTGGGCTATTAAAAAATCCACAGTAAAGGTTATTTTTCATGCTAAAACAGAACTTCCAGATTATTGAATCTCTGAATCAAGAAATGCAGTTGTTGCCTTTCGGGGTGCACTTTATATATATATATGGAGGAGCCTGTTCAAGCTGCAAGATGTATGACAAAATACTACCAGTGTATAGCCAGTTTAAGAGATTTCCTTTCACTTTTTATTGCATCATCGAAACAAAGTAAAGGGAAATCTTCCCAATGTACACAGACAAATATAAATATATAAAAATAGCAAGGGTTCTAACCCTTCCCCAGTCTAATCACAACCAGCTAGAGATACGCTGCAATCTTTTGGATCAATATAACATCAACACATACACCTATAATTTTTCAAAAGGAGATTTCTGCCAACCTATTTTATCAGTACAGATTTTCATACAAATTTGTGGCTCTGTTGTTGTTTAGAATTGTTATTCTATACAAGCACTGACAATATTAAAATTATTTCTTATTTGTGCTTCTTTGACATATACTAGAGTTTCTGTTACAGAATAAAAGCCAAAGAAACAATGCAAAAAAAGATGTCGCATTGGACGGTGGTAAAAGCTTTTCAGTTTAAGTATTTTGGATGAAAAAGCATTCCTTGCATAAAAAAGCATATTGAAAGAGTTTTGTAAACAGCATAAGCTGGGAAAGTACTGAGCAAATAATATTTTCTTGATTGGAGACACATTTTTAGAAAATGGATATGGTTATATCTTACTCCAGCTCCTCTAATTCCAGGCGTCCCAGGAATTCCTGGCTTTCCAGGTTCTCCCTAGAAAAAAAAAAAAGAATAAGATAAATATAATTATATAATCATTGTCAGATCTCTAGGTCAGTGGTCATGGTGGTCACACCTTATGCCGCATAATCATCATAAACACCATGCATTGTGCAAACGTTTGGGTTTTGTCTGGGGTTTACACAAACTTGAAAACTGCTTTCTCACAAAAGATCTAATTGTACAAAGTGGTTTAGAGAAAAAGATTCTTCTTAGCATCTGAAAAAAACATTTCTTTCCTGGTTCATTATGTGCTTTTAAACATAGCAGCAGCATCGGCATTGTCTAGATATTCTGTTGGACAGTCTGCGTGGCATTCTTAGTGTGATGCCAACATGGATCACAAGTTATTCTGTGTGTGATAGTTACTAATCATCCCTTTTTTATAACAGGAAGAAATTGCCTCTATCAACTGTCAGACAAAGGGCAATCCAAGTGGGTTTGAGTAGATCTGGTGTCTCATTGCCCATTGTTCTTGGTGAGACATTATACTGCCATATATGACTATTTTAATGAAGGATTTATGACTTAACATGACCATACCCAACCTAAGATTCAGTTTAAAAGACCTGGGGAGACTGGGCCATGTAATCACTTATAATATTTGTTTTCATCTTTTTCTTTTTTTTTTCATTTGTTGCATCTCAAACCTGTGGTTCTTCCATACCCTCCTTGCTGCCATTTCCTGTCTGCATGCATGCCAGAGATGTCTGCATGGTATTTGTGTGTGCAGGTTTCCTGATGATAACAACAGTATGCCATGCGTGCATAAAGTGAGTTAACTTGTATTCCCTATTGAAAGTTTGTGTGACAGGCTGACAATGCAGGAGCACAGTTAGAAGACAGGGTGAGGGAGAAAATGCTGTCACTCTATAACTTGAAGTGGCTGAACAAGAACCTTCATGGCAGGATCACTAGGTATTTTTATAATGAAAGTTGCCGATTTAAAAATATTGACAATTATTTTTAGAATTATAATAACATGCAGTAGATTGCATGGGATTGTAGTGATTGGGTTCACATATACATTACCTCAGGCTTTCTCAAGCAGGGTTCCATGGAATCCTAAGGCTCCTTCAGAGGTTGGTAGGGTACAGAGGCAGACTGACCATTCGAGCACTCTGGCACTGCCCGAGAGCCCGGGGTCAGTAGGGGGCACCATGAAATGTCCCCGGTACCTTTTTTATAGGCTTTTTTGAGTGTGGGCAAGGACACAGGGACCCAATGATCCCCTATTGCCCGGGGGCCCCATGAGTTGTCAGTCAGCCCCTGGTAGGGTAGATCTCAGGTAGTGGCAGACTCATATCCTTTCTACAGTGACCACCAATGTAAGAGAACAATTTTTGCACTGATATCCAAAGGGAATGCCTCTACGCTGACTGCCAAAGTAAAGGGGCTTTCTTACTCACCACCAATATAAGAAGCCCTTTTCCACTGACCAATAGTATAAGGGGACACTACACATTTTGAAGGTCTACATTTTATTTTTGGTCACTAATATTATTAGTTTTATATTAAGTTTTATATTGTGGTACAGAGCAATGGGTGTTGAAAAGTGCCCCACCGTGGGTGCCAAATTCTCTAGCTATACCATATACCTTATATTTTGATTTAAAACTTTACACAACTTACTGATCATGCTAAAGTGTCATGAGCTGTAGATAAAAACACTATTTATCAGGAGTTCCCTGAGACCTGCAAATGATTTAAAGGATTCCTTCAGGGTAAAATGATTGAGAAAGGCTGCATTACCTTAACCATCTGTGGTTCTCAATGAGACTTCTGTGTATCTGTGTTCAGCTGCATTGCAACTCATTGGTGACTATGTTACCTAAGGTTAAATAATTTGCTGTGTTCTATAGCTCAGTGTCAGATTAATGAAAATTACAAGAAATAAAGCCAATTGCATGAAATGAAATAATGAAGTAATAGCAAATGATTTAAATGCTCAATAATCACCTCCATTCCAGGATCTCCTTTATATCCTTTAGACCCAGGAGTAGTGGAAGTAGTCCCAGCCTCTCCCTGTAAGTAACCAAAATCAAATAAGAATATGTAAAAGAAATGATGCAGTGTGTGTATGTGTATATATATATATATATATATATATATATATATATATATATATATATACACACACACAGTATAAAATCCCAATCATTTAATTTACTGCATACATTTTTGCCTACCAATATATTAGGGTAACAGTTGCAATGGATATTAAAACAGCATGGTAAATATCTATTATAATTCAATGTATCTGATGCTATATGTATTTACCGCCCCATAGCAGCTTTACTGCTACAGGGTGGTCCTTCTGTGCAAAATCACATATATAAAGGTGATTTTGCACTTCCGCCTAGAGGGCGAGCACACGAGCCACTGGCAGTTCGCTTCTGCTGTGAACACTCACAGAAGAAGCTGATCTATGAGTACTGGCACCCGCCGATCTTCATAAAGAGGCATACAACCAAGCTCTGCCTATGTAAACAAGGCAGAGCTAAATTCTGATGGGGGTAAGTGATGAATCTTGTTCCCTGCTTTGCAGGAACACAAGATCCATTATTTCCCTTAGAAAAAGCACCTAACACAGTACACTAAAACACTCCCTAGGCACGCAGTTAACCCTTTGATTGCCCTAGATGTTTAACCCCTTCCTAGCTAGTGTCATTAGTACAGTGTCAGTGCATATTTTAAGCATTGATCACTGTATTAGTGTTACCGGTTCCTATAAGTGGCAGTGTCAGTTGTAAAAGTGTCTACCGCAATATTTCAGTCCCGCTATAAGTTGCTTATTGCATTACTAGTATAAACAAGTTCCAGTATATATTCTATAGTTTGTAGACACTATAACTTTTGCACAAACTAATCAATATACGTTTGGGATTTTTTTTTACCAAAAATATGTAGCAGAATACATTTTGGCCTAAATTTATGAAGAAATTAGATTTTTTTTATTGGATATGTTTTATAGCCGAAAATATATATATATATATTTTTTTTCAAAATTGTTGTTTTTTTGTTTATAGCGCAAAAAATAAAAGACGCAGTGGTGATCAAATACCACCAAAAGAAAGCTTTATTTGTGGGAAAAGAAATGACATAAATTTCATTTATGTACAGCGTTGCATGACTGCTTAATTGTCTGTTAAAAAACGCAGTGTCATATCGCAAAAAATGGTCCGGCTGAGAAGGGGGGTTAATCTTCTGGAGGGCGAGTGGTTAAAACAACTGGACAAGGGCCCATCTCCCTATGCACCAGTAGCCACTGGAATAAAACTTAACCTTTGCACTTAATTATACCCCATTCAGATTATACCATTTTTGGAGGTGCTAGATTGTTCACAGAAAAACAGTGACTTGAGGGAGAGTATTCATTCTCCTTATTCACTCTACCTCCTCCATAAATACAAAAACTGGACAAGTAAAAAGACCACCATATTCTCAGGATGGAAACATTGAAAAAAGTGCTCCCAAGCAACCCAGCATGTTTCTCTCCAATAAGGCTGAGCTTTTTAAGGAGAAATATGAATAAAAATAAGCAACCAAAATACAATGAAATGAAAAGAGGTTCCAATTACCAGGACACTGTACACTAAGAAGCTTAAGCTACATTATAGTATATGTGACCTTATTACTATATTAATAGATCATACTTGCAACTTTTTCACAATACTGTTTTTGTTTGAAACCCCTCTTAGCATCCATGATGTTGTCCTACTTCATGGATGTTGTATTCATTAATGTCTACACATATTATATTTGTGTACATATTAACTTGATGTGCCAATATAGCTCTTTTGGTACCAGAAATGACAGAGGTGCAAAACTAAGCCCACATAGTTGAATCAAGTCACTGTTATTTTTGAACAAAAAATGGCGTTTTCTGAATAGGGTAAAATATTGTGTAAAGGATAGTTATCGCTGGCAGAGCTGATTTTCTGTTTACAGTTGTTTAGGCATGATAAGATCTCCATTCTATGGTTATCACCCTAGGGACCTAATTTGGGTGTCCTTTTATGACACAGAGAATAGCTGCGATTCAACGGATCTCAGCTATTCTCTGGTCATTCACAGTTTATGACACTCAGGAGATCATGTCAGCCCTTCACTGGAGATCTGTGTTCTCCCTCCAGATTCTCCAGCCCAGAGCTGGAGAATCAGAGGGACCGCAAACTAAGCAGAGATAATTTACCTCTGCTTAGTAAACTGATCTTTTTTACTGTAATCTCGCGAGATTATAGTAAAATGAGCCGTTTTCCAGAGTTTGGAGACCGTTCTCCAGCGTTTGGAGATCGTTCTCCCTTCGTTTGGAGAACTGCTTCATAAACTGCATTCACAGGAGAACTGTGTTCTCCGAGAATGCCGGAGAACTGAGCAGCAATCTATTACCGCTGGTTCACAAACGGACACCATTGTCTTTCTTTTTGGTCCAGTGTAGTGTATGTCCACTTGACCTACAGAAGTACCGTGGAGCAGTGGGACCCCCTTTTGTTTTGTTTCTGGAAAAAAATTAGAATAATGATCACCAACGTTCTTGTATATTGCATTATCTCACAGTTATGGAGTCAGTGTACAGCACCCCCCCTCATAAGTACATTAACCCACACAGTCTTTATTAAGAATTTTATTAAAATGTATACCAAAGGTTAGGCTTTATCCCATTGGTTACTGGTACATAGGGAGATGCACCCTTGTTTTGTTGAAAAAATAATTGCCACAGTGGATCATACTTAAAATAAAAGTGGATCATACGTATTTAAAATAGTGAAGGCCTGTGATAGTTGATGTATTTAAAACAACCAAATTACAATTCATCATAGAAATGTATATACTTACCCAGTCACCTCTGAAACCTTTGTCTCCTTTATTACCTGGGGGTCCTTTTGTCCCAGGACTTCCCTGTTAAGACAGAAATTGAAAGTTATTGCATATGGATAGTAGACTGAAAACCCAAATAAACACAAGTGCTTTAAACCTGAATGCCTGATCACAACAGAGTTATAGCTCCAGCGCTCCCAGTATAGGCAGAATCAGATGGCCATACTGATTAGGTTAAAAAATATTGTGGCATAAGATATTGTAGATTAAAGAGACCCCATGGGGTTAAAAATAAGTCTGAATTTAAGTTCACTGAAAGAGTAGTGCACATCTACTCTCCTTTATGGCAGGTCATGTCACCTAACTTTGTTCCACTTTTAATGCTGCAGCTGCTGTTCCCCACAAAGCCATGGTTTCATCTTCAACCCCTATGACACTGCTGAGTCCTGTAGTGACAGAGGACTTGGAGGACAAAACCACAAACACGCCATCTCAATGATCCCAGCAGCCACCATCCACACACCCTTCCCACTGTCCTGAGACTCCTTGGTTGAGCAACCTACTGTTGGGTCCATGATTATGTGTCATCCTCCAGCTTCTGGGGATATGCATTTCTCCTCTACACTAGCTTGGTGATGTATCAGTCTGGGCACTCCTACATGTTATGCTTTTTAACTGAACTAATGTAAGCTCAGGAATAGTTAAAATCGAAATTCACTTTAATAAGTGAATTTCGAATTTTAACTATTCCTGAGCTTGTGACTCTATTTACTTCCACTGGGTTTGGAGTGCTCCTATATTTGTTGTCCTTTGCAGTTATAACAGCTTCAATTCTTCTGGGAAGGCAGTCCACAAGATTTGGAGTGTGTTTATGAGAATGTTTGATCATTCTTCCAGAAGCACATGTGAGGTCAGGCACTGATGTCGGATGAGAAGGCCTGGCTTGCAGTCTCTGCTCTAAATTATCCCAAAGGTGTTCTATCGGGGTCAGGCAAGTACTCTTTTCCTGGCAACTGCCAAACCCAGACACATCCATCAGATTTGCAGACAAAGAAGCATGATTCTTCACTCCAGAGAGCATGTCTTCACTTCTCTAGAGTCCTGTGGCGGCATGCTTTACATCACTGCATCAGTCGATTTGCATTGCACTTGGTGATGTAAGGCTTGGATGCAGCTGCTCGGCCATGGAAACCCATTCCATGAAGCACTCTGCACACTGTTGTTGTGCTAATCTGAAGGCTACACAAAGTTTGGAGGTCTTTAGCTATTGACTCTGCAGACAGTTGGAGATGTCTGCGTACTGTGTGCTTCAGCATGCCCTGACCCCGCTTTGTCATTTTACATGGCCTACCACTTCATGGCTGAGTTGCTGTTGTTCCCAGTTGCTTCCATTTTGTTACAATACCACTAACAGTTGACCGTGGAATATTT